TCTCTCTCTCTCTCTCTCCCCTTCTGTCTCTCTCTCTCTTACTCTCTCTGTCTGTCTCTCTCACTCTCTGCCTCTCTGTTTGTGTTTCTCTCCCTCTCTTTCTTTATCTCCACATCCCTCTTCTTTATTTCTCTGTCTGTATCTTCCTCTCTCTCCCCCTCCCTCTTCTTATTTGTTCTGTCTCTCTCTATCTTTCTCTTCTTCTCTCATCACACCTTTCCTCCCCGCCCCCCTCTCTCTCAGATGCTGGAGAGATACCAGTACGCCAAGCAGCACCAGATACCCGTGAGCGGCCTGTGGATCCAAGACTGGTCCGGCAAACAGTCAACGCCCTTCGGCACCAGGGTCAACTGGAACTGGAAGTGGGACCCCAACTGGTACCCCGGTACACGATTGCCTTTCTTCTTTCTCTCTGCTTTTTTGGGTTGTTTTTGTTTGTTTGTTTATCTATTTGTTTGTTTGTTTGTTTGTTTATCGTTCCACACCCATTCATTTATCCTTGGTAGGCTATCGTCAGCAATTATGGCTTGATTTTGTGTTTAGAACAGTATTGCAGGCTAAGTTCAGAGATATCCTCTGGTTGTTTTCTGGGCAGGTTTATTTTTTGCTTACGGCGTGTGTGCTCATACGTAGATCCCATAATTGAAAAAAAAAATCTTAACTTCTCTTGTCTATGTTTGTGCACACCAGCACGCTGGAATTTGGGTAAAAGTTAACTCGTCCACCCTTACACCGTTTATACGTAGATCTATCGTTTTCAACCTCATTCAATAAACACAATCCTCTTAATTTCGGTGTTGATGCCTCTTAAAACTATCTTCAGTGAGTGTGTGTGTGTGTTTGAGACATTAATTTGTACAGGCAGCGCTTCAAAAAGAGACTATTCTGCTACGTAAATTTTAAAATGACATGTATGCGCTGTATGCCAACAAAAATAGGTGAGTTTGATCAATTTTAATTTCCGAGGCATGTATCCTTGGATGCTGAAATGAGATATTTGGGCAATCTTATAAGCATGCTGTATCAGTCAGAGACCGTCATGCTTTTCCTGTTGCTCGATAACGGTGACATTTTGCCAGAAAGCAGATTGAGATGTTCGTAACAACAACAACAACAACAACAACAACAACAACAACAACAACAACAACAACAACCACAACAACAACAAAGCGCATGGCATCCAAGTGCCCTCAAACTTCTTATCAACTACAGTGTTGTAGGAAACTGTATTCTAGTTTCGACATCTCTCTGATCCTTGATTTTTTTAGAGAGTTTCAAATGTTTTTCTGTCCCGCACTGTCGAATTACAGATCGTTAATCGGAGTTGCCATATACTCTCGTAAATTTCATTTCTTCACCTTTCCCTTCACTTATCCAGTAGTCCGTCTGACTGTTGAGGCACAAACTGTAGATTTTACAACCAGCTTCTGTCACTCCTCACGTTCCTCATCTTTCCACAGTATGACGTTTCAGTCCACGCTTTAATGTTGTCTTTCCGTCGTTTTCTCTGTCTGTGTCTGCCATTTCCTCTTCGTACTTGAGCTGCTCCCTGCCGGATAATCCTGGCCGGTCCTGAAAATTGTTTTTAAAGCCTTATAAATAAAAAAGCAGTGTGAAAATATATTAATTTATGTCTTTCCCCAGGACTTGACCAGGTCATCAAGAACTTGACCACAGAGGGCGTGAGGGTTCTGGGTTACATAAACCCCAACCTGGATCACAGAGGAGATCTTTTCAAAGAGGTTTGCAGAATATGTTTCTGTGTATTGTGCGTTTTTATTTTTGTTGACTTCCAGGAATTTGTTTTTTTCTCCCTCCCCATTCAATAAACTGTGACAGTGTATTTCAGGATGGCACTCAGTGATTAGGCAGTCTTGTTTTCTTCTAACATTTTACACAGTATGAAGACTTTTCAAATTTTTCCTTCGGCATAATCTGTTTTCATATTATGTCCGCTTTCTGGCATAACGTAACGGTGCTGGAGGCTAAATCATTGAGGACGCCCACTCTGCTCATTCGATATAGTTGGAAGGCTTGCTGTTTCGGGACATAACTTCCGTATTCATGCAAATGTTTCAATTCAATGTTTTAATAATAGATAATAGATAGCATTTGTATAGCGCATATCCCCGCTCAACAGCAGGCTCTATGCGCTTTACACTATATTTTTAAAGGCAGCCTATAACAGACGTTCTATGAAATAATGCAAATTCGTCTTTTTTGATTTCGATAGAATGGTTCGAAATGTACCACAACGTTGCCTTTGACCTGCTGCGGATTGGATGTGTCCGTTACGTCCTCAAAGAGTTAAGAAATAAATTAATGCACATCATTCCTTCTGTTGGAGACTCGAGCTGTGAGTTACCACACTCATAGTACGCTCGCGCGTGAAGTAAGCCGTGGGGCCCGCCTTTAGCTCTTTAAGCACGTACCATACACATAACGTTGTATTATCATGTCCTATCAGCAGCAGACCACGGGTAATGTTGTGGTACCTTTTGAACCTGCGTACACAAACCGGAAGCAGAAAAAAAAGAATATTTCGTAGTATACTTGTTTTTGCATGCCTGTTTCAGTTTCAGATATAGAAAATAGAATTGAAAAGTCTGTATGGATAACGAAATTAAGATTCTTCAAGAGTTTGAAAGATTTGAATTCAGGTCTTTTGTCAAAAGGGGTGTTGACCCGTGTCAAGCCATAGTTTAACCAACTGTGCAAAGCGGGTGTTTAGAGTAGAGGACACCACCGGTAGGTCTTTCAGGTCTTTCTTTTTTACTTCCACTCTGTTGTTTCTGTCAGTCTGTCTTATTTTTTCCCCAGCACTAAATGGCTATTTTTGTGTCGATGTGCATCTCTTTATTCAAACAAACAAACAAACAAACAAACAAACAACTGCAACAAGTTTCCCTGGGAATAAATAAAAGGGTCTTTTCTCTTATTTTTTTATATCTCTGTCCTAACAGGCGGCGTCTCGTGACTTCCTGGTGAAGAACAGCACCGGCGGCATCTACTACACCACCAGCCTGTCTTTTATTCTCGGCACGGTGGACTTTACAAACCCACAGGCCTACGACTGGTATAAGAACGGTAAGTCGACGGGCATCTTGACAGAAGGGAACAATTCCCAATGCCTACTATGCTTCTGTTTGACTCTGTATTTGTTTGTCTCTGTTTCTGAGCGTCTGTATGTTTGTTTGTCTGTCTGTTTGTCTTTCTGTCTGTCTACCTGCCTGCCTACCTGTCTGTATGTTTGTCTGTCTGTCTGTCTGTCTGTCTGTCTGTCTGTCTGTCTGTCTGTCTGTCTGT